ATAGAAGTTTTAAAATTAATGATAACACTTAATACTATTAACAATATAGGAAACGGGCCTTTTTATACACTATGGGAGGTGATGAAAATTGACCTTTTTTTGGAGTTCAGTATGACAGTATTCTTCAAAAAAGTGTCCTAAGTCTACACTTTGATCTAACAATTTCAAACAAAAATGTATGTTGGCTATACATACATTTTTATATTATGAGCCAAATTTATCAATCTTTTTTCATTATGGCATCTCAGCTTAGAAGTTTGCCCTGCAGATCTGCTTGCCCAGACTTGCCAGGCTGTATTACACGATGACATGCCTGCACTGTGGGACAGCAGACTGTCAACCTGTGTCTGTCGATGTGAAAAGGTGCTCACGAGGATAGTATGCCAACATATATCAAATTAAAAAACAAATTGAAACAATATTTTTACTTTGATGGCTGTATCTCTATATATAAAAAGCCAGCATGCTGCTCTGTTAAGATTAGTGGAGTAGATGGATATTTAACAGCATCTATACAGAAAATACCTAGAAGCATATATTATATTTATAATACGTTTTTTCAAATCCTTATTTGCCTTTTATTGAAAAACTGTTAGGTTCTGAAACCTAGTGTATTGTATTCTCTAGTGTTCAAAAACTAGAGTCTGATTCATCTCTAAAGCATCATATAAAATAGTCAATATTCAAGTTAGTTCACATTAAATTCTTTGTTCTCTTTTTGAAAAATTTAAGTCCCAAATGTTAAAAAGGCCATATTCTCTTTAGCAAAGAGGACAACCACATACACAAAAAATTATTTTGGTATTTCTTAAGCTGCCTTGTGGTTGTCATTATTTTGTAAGTATCTTCTTTTTCATGTTTATGTGTACTTTTGATAATCTCAAAGATGAGTTCTTTCTCAATTTTAAAGTTTGCCAAGTTCTAAGATCAACAAATCCAGCTTGACCGTGCTTTTCGCACCTGTGTGCTGAATTTTACCTTGTATCCAACCTAAGTCTTATCAGATATCCCTTACCAAGTGTTTGGAAGGAGGTATATTAGTGTATACATTTATTCTGCAGGTGATGAGTGCACTCCTAAACTAAACGTCATGGCTAGATAAATGTCATGGGAAGTCTATGCTACTGAGCTCAAACATTCACAAATGAATTTTATCAAAATCCCTTAAAAGCTGTGAGGTCCCTGCTTTCCTGCTGTTACTCCAGGTTAAGTCACACTTACAACATAAGCCTCTTTAAGGTTCCGCCTGATTTACTTGATGCCTCTACCAAATAGACCTCACGTTATGATTTTCTTTGTAACTTGTAAGGCAGCAAATACTGTCCTTAATACTAACCTCTGCTGCTTTAGAAGAACTCTAAAGTAATTTTGAAATATGACAACATTCTGCTAACAAATATTAACATCCATGTGTGAAAATGAAATGCAGGAAAAATATACGAGGCTATTTAGAGGGATGATGATCGCTATCTGTTTAAAGTGAGATCATTATCCTTGGGGGGGGGGGGGGAAGAGACAAAAGATCACTGGCTCCAACTTCCTTAGTTCATAGCTGAGGAAGCTGCCACCAAGAGCAGTCACAGTTAGTGGCTGTGCTGGGACTAGAACTGTGGTCTTCTGCCTGCAGTTTGCTAGTTGCATCACACTGTGTCTCCACCTGCATACACGTTTTTGCACATAGACTGTGTTTTTCTAAACATGACAACCCTATGGCCCAGCAGTTCCACTTCTGAACATATACTCAATATCCACCAAAAGACGTGAACTAGATCATTCATGGCAGCATTGCTGTTAATGGGCAAAATCTAAAGAGGGAAGGAGGGAGGGCGGGAGGGTGGGAAGGAAGGAAGGAAGGAAGGAAGGAAGGAAGGAAGGAAGGAAGGAAGGAAGGAAGGAAGGAAGGAAAATGGGAAGGGGAAGGGAAAGAAGAGGGAAGGAGAGAAGAAAGGAGGGGAGGGAAGGGGAAACCAAATATAAACCAACAGTAGGATGGATAAACTATGGCATATCCACACAATGAAATATTACACCGCAGTTAAAAAGAATGACTGATTCATGGAGCAATATGGATAAACCTGGGCCGGGGAAGTGGGGGTGAGGAGGGAGCATGTTGTTGAGTGAAAGAAGCGAGACATAGGAAATTATGGAGCGCACCTGTGTTCTATTTATATGTCTGCTTATAAACTCCTTAAGGTCAGGGACCATTTCTCTGCGTCTGTAGATCTCCAGCACCTAGCACAGTATCTGGCACATAGCAGGTGCTCAAAGTGTAGTTGTTGTAATGGAAAGTATAGAATATACAAAAAGGCACATCTAAGTTTTTTTCTATTGAGAGAAGCAGTAGGAAATAGAGGGAACAGTAATTAATTCTCAGAAGTTTTTTTTAAAAAATATATTTTATTGATTTTTTACAGAGAGGAAGGGAGAGGGATAGAGAGTTAGAAACATCGATGGGAGAGAAACATTGATCAGCTGCCTCCTGCACACCCATTACTGGGGATGTGCCCACAACCAAGGTACATGCCCTTGACTGGAATCGAACCTGGAACCCTTCAGTTTGCAGGCCGACGCTCTATCCACTGAGCCAAACCAGTCAGGGCATAATTCTCAGAAGTTTTTATGAGAGTACAGCATGTGGAAACCTGAAATATTAGCACAGTATTAACTGTAACTGACACTTGGCTAGGTATGACCATAACTAGACTCTGGTAATATCTCAGACCTTTTCAATACAGACACTGCTATTGGAGCCTATGGTTTGACTCAGAATGAATTCAACCATGATACCAAGCATATGCAATAGTTTTCTCTAGTCTTATTTGTGGCCTCAATGAGGAGGAAGTTGACTCAGTCCCTTTCCTATTTCTATTCAGTGCAACAGAAGTGCCGTTGAGCTAATCAGTGGATTTTAGTACATTGATTAGGTCATGCTTTTGCGGATTTGTGCTTTGGGGACTAAATGAGCTTACACTGGAAGAAGGCTTTCTCTGACTCCTTGTCCTCTGGCATTGGCAGGTGACTGGCCTTCTCTCTGAGGTGACAAGTTTGGGATGAGGGGAATGGAGTAGCTCTTTTGTCTGCTTGGATTTCAGACTCCTCATTCCCAACTTGTGTAGGAATAAGGACCCAACCACCACATGGTTTGCTGAGGTTTATTAGCACTCCACACCGAGGTTTGGGCAATTCCCACCACAAAAAATAAGACATTGCATTGCTTCCTTGAGGTATTTGATTGTCTTGGAGACCAACCAGAAAGTGAGATGGCTAAACTAAGGTGGGATTGGTAAATTCTGGATCTCTTGGTCAAATGCCATTGTAATGCTATTGTAAGACTACCCTTTAAAATCACCTCACTTCTTCATCCCTAAACATGTAGCACAATGAGACATGGTTTCTTTCTCCTGCCATGGGTGCCTCAGGCATTGATAGGTGCTACTGTGGCATTTCTGCCTACTGTTACAGGCTATCACGTGGAAGAAGTCCTGGAAGTCTGAAGGAAGGTTTGCTCATGTTTGAAAAAGATGTGCCCTATTAATTATAGATCAGACAGACCCAATGAATTCTAGTCTTTGGGGGAATCCAGGGACACACTGTTAATCAATTTGCAATCATCTATACAAGCACTGCGTATTGAGCTGCAGTTAATACAGCTTTGTGAGCAGAGTAAGTTCACTGTTAATTAAATACTGACCAGCAGGATTCCCATTTGGCTAGTAGGACATTCGCATCAGCAGGATGAAAAGACATGGTCCTAACCATTTAGGTGGGTGAAAAAAAGCATTTGGTGATGTTAGTTAATCTAAAGGTCTTTGTGAAGTGCTCAGCAGGCAGTGCGGAGGTGGGAAAAGCGCAGTTACTTTTCCTATTACCTAAATTACCTTTAAAAAGTTTATTTTTTATCTCTGTGTTTCATGAGAGTTAAATTATACTCGGTGTTTTCCCATTATTCTATTATCTAGGTAAGTTATATGCAGCTTGTTTTCACTGAAGCTTTCCTGGAACATATTTTGCCTCAGGGAAAACAAAACCCTTAGGTTCTTTCCTTTCTTGCTGGTGTTATCAGCCCAGTGCACAGCTTGCCACCCGTTGGGCCATTACTTCATTCACACACAGGCAACTTGTCAAATACAGTAAGGTCGCTTGCCAACAGGATGTGAATCTCATGTCTTACCCTGTTATGATTTAAAATTTAATAACTGACACGATGATGTGAAAAAATATATATCAAGAGTTTTTACCAACTGTTTTGTGAGGCTCCCCCAAATTTGTATGGAAGTAGATGAGTTAACATCTCTGGTTTCATTCTTCATTGTCTTGCTCATTTTTACCAAGCCCAAAAGTTGCCCCTTGGATGTTCAGTTGTGCTTCCAGCAAACCCCCAGCCATTGCTGGACAATAGTGTCATAAGTTGGACAAACATACCCTTTCTAATTGCTCTTCTCTAAATTTCATCAGTGAACTAAAATAAATCTTCATCTGTTAATGGCAATTTTAAAAATTAAATATTCCAAAGATTCTTGGAAAAAAATGTTTCTTAACCTTGTCAGTCTTGCTCTTGACTGTTTCTTCTTGATTTAGCATCCCAATATTGAGAGAAAAAGTATCTCACTTGGAAAAAATATATACCACTTGCATATGCAAACTTTAAAGTGGTGATGTTAAATTTTAGATGAAAATATGTTGAAAGTAACCCTGGCCTGGTGGCGCAGTTGGTTGGAGCATGTACACCAAATGACTTTGGATTCAGTTCCAGGTCAGGACGCATACCTAGTTTCAGGTTTTATTTCCGATCGGGACACGTATGGGAAGCAACCAATTGATGTTTCTCTCTCATATCAGTATTTCTTTCTCTCTCTCTCTCTCTCTCTCTCTCTCTCTCTCTCTCTCTCTCTCTCATCAATAATGTATCCTCGGGTGAGGATTTAAAAAAAGCATGTTGAAAATAAATGTCAGTGAGTCCTTGAGAATTGCCTAACTCGTACTAATTTGTTGGTTTGCAGTTTAACTCGGCCGCTAAGCAGCTGATAGAATGGGATAAGCCTCCTGGGCCAGGAGCTGATGCTGGAGAAGGCACCTCGGCAGCAGCTCAGGGCAGCACTGCCTCAAAGCACTCCGACACCAAGAAGAACACCAAAAAGCGGCACTCCTTCACGTCCCTCACCATGGCCAACAAATCCTCCCAGGCGTCCCAGAACCGCCACTCCATGGAGATCAGCCCCCCTGTCCTCATCAGCTCCAGCAACCCCACGGCCGCCGCGCGGATCAGCGAGCTGTCCGGGCTCTCCTGCAGCGCCCCTTCTCAGGTGGGTCACCCAAAAGGCAGGAAAAGAGGTCGGCCACAAAATGATCTAGTCACGAACCAGTTTGTTCACCAGCCGAAAGATCTTGTTTATTGTTGCCTTCGGAAGGTAGTAGCTCTCCTGGGGAGCAAAGCCTTTCTTGTTCTGCAGGTAGAAAAATGGAGAAGGGAGAAATGACTTGAGCATATTCACCCAGAGCTACACAGGCATTTTCAAAGGAAAGATCTGAAATTATAAGATGAATTAAATAATACTTATCAGTCTCACCAAGCACTCAGTTTTACAGAAAGCTGTTTTAGGAGTTCTTGCCAACTAAAACTTTTATCTCCATCCAAACTGAAGATGCTGTGGTCAAAACTCATGAAGTTTGCAGTTGCCTACATCTGTGTGACTTACCTTGGTATTTGGGCTTCTTAGTCAGAGTTCCAGAAAAAGGACATAAAGAAACATTTAATTTAAGTTAGAAATTGGCCTAGCATTTTTTAAAAGCTCATTAATTCATCAAGACTTTGGACGGTCTTAAAAAATAGCTACATATTATTCTTGTGTTAATAAAAAGGCTCAAGATGATGGGGAACATTGGTTTAATCATTTGACAAACCTTTACTGGGTGCCTTATTGTAGAGCCTTCATGGAACTGCGTCTACCAAACAAAATAAGATGTGGTACTTTCCCGTTCTAGGCTTAATTCTGGACTGCAACGTGAGCCTCGCTGTGCCCTGCTGTAGTCATCCAGTTAGGTGATAGCTGTATTCTCTTCAACCCAAAGTCCAGAGAGCCTAGTCCAAAGTGGCCTGCCACAAGTGGAAGGAATTTCTTTCAAAGCTCATGTTTTATTTTAAAAATTTATACAGATTTTATATTCTACTCTATAGTATTTATAGCTGTGATTTAAAAAAAAAACAACATAAAAATAAATTATTTTTCCTTAAAGGGAAAAAGGAGAGAGAGGAGAGAGAGAGAGAGAGAGAGAGAGAGAGAGAGAGAGAGAGAGAGAAGAGGAGAGGAGAGAGAGAAAGAAAGGAGAAAAGAAAAGAAAGAAAGAAGCCAACAGCCCTGGCTAGGTAGCTCAGTTGGTTAGAGCATCATCCTGATACACCAAGATTGGGGGTTTGCTCCCTGGTCAGGGGCACATACAAGAATCAACCAATGAATGCATAATAACTGGAACAACAAATCAATGTCTCTCTCTCTCTCAAAATCAATAAATAAAAATTCAAAAAAAAAAAAAAGAAAGCCAGCAAACACATAGTCCTTATCCTCAAGAAACCTACCCAGTTTAATAAGTATCTGTTTTGGACCACAGAATAAATACTTACAGCAGTTTTTTGTATTCCTTGCTAATATTACTAAAAATTATGTTCTCTCAGACTCATTTATTTGACCTTGCTCCTTTAGATTCATGCTGTAGGTTGTGAGATAAATGCTTTCATTCTCTGAATGGGATTGTGTTTTGTTGTGTTTGAGGCAGTAGAGCCATGAAACTTTTGATCTTATGAGGGAAATAGGACACACACACACACACACACACACACACAGGACTAGAACATGAGGGTGATGAAGGCAGAGGTCTTTGTTTTATTCGCTGATATATATTCCAAATGGCAGACATACAATAAGCACTCAATAATCACACACACACACACACACACACACACACACACACAGGACTAGAACATGAGGGTGATGAGGGCAGAGGTCTTTGTTTTGTTCACTGATACATCCCAAATGTCCGACATACAATAAGCACCAGTAACTATTTGTTGAATGACGAGTCACTTGAATAATGGGTAGAGAGGAGCACCGTGCTGCTTTACATGTAACTAGCTGTCTGAATGATAGACTAAATCAGAGCACCAAGTACCAAGTGAGGTTCCTCTGGAGAGAGTCCAAACTGATGATTTTGAATGAGGTTCTGAGGGAGGAGGCTAGTCAAGGTGGCCATTCACTAAAAGAAAAGAGAATCATTTGAGTGTATTTTTTTATGTGTGACCTAGCAACATTTTCACAGTGATGCTTTCTTGAAATAAAAGATAAGTGTTCGCTAAGTATAATGGCAGCTCACAGTGGGAATTGCTTTAAAAGAATAGACAGTCATCCTGGCAATAGAGAAAATTAGAAGAGAAAGGAAGATAATACAGCGTTTATATGTTTGCTAGCGAACACGGCAGTCAGGTGTGAGCTTGCCTAACGCTGCCACACTAGAGCTGGGAACGGAGACGATCAAGGTGGAGCGACTGTTGTTTCGGTTTGAGTAGCTTAGGAAACAAGGCTGGTTCTCTGTTCTGTGAAAGCAGTTTCCCCTTCAACCATGCCCCACTCCTCCCATGTTCCAATTCCTCCTGTTTTCAGTCATAGCGTGTTGCCTGGGGGGAAGTTCTGTCTCGAAGAGGATGGGAGGTGTTTGAAGTGCTGCCTGGTTCCTCCCGCCTGGGTTTACAGAAAGCACTCCTTGTCTGGGCGCTGTGTACATGGGCGGGAACCACAGTCCACAGCAGAGCGAAGAGTACGTGTAGCCTGTGTGGCCAGCAAACACTCCCCTGCCATGGAGCTGAGTGGAGATGGGAACACGGCGCTTGGGGGGCCATTTAAAGTAGGGCTTTCCTTCTCTTCTCCCCAGAAAAGACCTCTCAGTAGAGTTGACTGAGGTCCGTGGCTGAATATGTTTCCTGTTATTGGCCTGATACTTCTGTCTTGCTTTTCCTTAATTAGGTTTGGTTTCATTTATTTAAAAACCCAAGGCAAGGGGCCTAAAGAAGTGAGTGTTGTTATCTCACCCAAGTGAGATCCACCTAGAGGTAGTTCGGTGCTGGTGCGATGGGGCCTTCCAGCTCACCTTTCACCACGTGGTTAGGCGTTAGGTCCTTGTCCTCCTGTTTCTGGGTGGCAAATTCCAAATTCCAGGCAACAGGATGGGCAGTGAACCAAAGAAAGGAGCAAAGGGCTCACTTCCTATTTGACGTGGTGACTAATGAGTGAAGGCTGAACTTTCCAGGATGTAAGTTGACAGATTGTGTATCTATCGGTCCCGCTGTCCAGGTGGGTCATCAGAACAGACGTGCACAGATGTCTGTGACTAACACCTGTAAAAACATGTGATGCTGCAAGTAACCCAGACATTTTGTCCCCACGCGGGGCATTTATTCTGGACACGCACACCCTCAGCCACTTTTCTTCTGCTTTGAGTCATTCTTTGGTGACCATTCCCTCTTCCTTTGCTCCAGTGCTAGGATGCTGAACTGAGGCCGGCAAGATTCTCGAATTCGGTGCTTCACTCCTACGTTTGCTGCCAGAGACCTTAGGGAACCTCTGTTCAGCTCGTCACGGGGGTCCAGAGACCTGAAGTGCCTTACTTGTCCTAGGTCATGAGCTTATTAGCAGCTAATTATCCTGAGTCCCAGTCTGGGGCTTTTAGGGAAACATCAGTCAATCGTGAGATCTTTTTTAGATATTGGTAGGTCAGGCCCGGGAAGCTGTATTTGGGGTGGGTTTTCGTCTGCCCTTTAAGGCTCCTGGATTCTGGTGCACACTTTGAAGTGAGCGTCATTGCATTTCCTAAGAAAGACTCCCATCTTCTGTGTGGTGCCCACATGCAGCTGCCCTGGGAGTGTGTATATAAAAAGATTTATTGGATAAAGTAGCAGCAGGCCGTGAGGTTTTATTCGAAGAATGAAAAACCACTGTGCTTCCCATTACAGATTGATTAGAAATAGACTTTGATTCACAGAAGAGAGAAAATGAGGGTTTGAAGAGAAACGCTTGTTAGTGGCACCCCTGGAATCTGCTTCGGTCAATCAGAATCTGAGCTAACAGGTACCGAGGTGGTTTTAAAAGGACGTGGATTCCATGTACAGATTTATTGGTGAAAATAATTCGATGCTGGGATGCTGATTCTCCCGGCCTCAGCAGGGGCTCACCCAGTGGGACACTGAAAGTTCCTTCAAGCCCTCCGGGAACTAACAAATCTTGGAGCTTTTCTTTGTCCTGATAATCTTTCTCTTAATTTATGGGAATTGACTAAAGTATGTTTGGGATTAAGTTTTTATTACAAAAGGCCTAGCATGTTTGGTATAGCATTGTTTCCAGGGGAAGACAAGGTACCAGCAGCCAAGCACATTTCTTTAACCATTTGTACACCATAGCGTCTATAGATGAAGCAGTGGACCTTTTTTAATTAAGTTCAAAATATCGTGGTAGTTAACTGGTTAATAATAATAGCGAAGGGAAAACCTAGTTTTTGCAGGAGCCCCTGTCCCTAGTTCTGCACCATGGAGTATGCTGTTGCACTCTGCAGTCAGACCTGTGTGCAACTTGACTGAAAGTGATCAAGTAACCAAACACAGGCAATGAACTGACCTGAATAACTCAATTTCTTTCTAGTAAATTAATCTTAGGTAGTATCATGGATAAGACACTGTGAAAACAATGGATTTGACTTGACATCATTCCCATAAAGGTTTTATCAGGGATTGTCTGCTGTAGGCAGGTCTAGGCAGCTGCATTTTAATTATGTGTCCCCACTGGAAGGTAGAAATCATGAAAGTGATTCTGAAAATAGCAGAACACCTTAAGCATTTCACATAGATTTAACATATTGCTAGGCAGGTGAGTATTCAGCCACAACCCAATCCAACAGGATCTTGAGGGGAATTGCCAGGAGGCTAGTGGAGCAAAGGCCTGGCCATCTGAAAAGCCAGTTGGGTTGGCGGTAGCATCCCAGGAGAGGCAGCGTGTTCCCTTGAAAGGCAGCCATAGTTGAAATGTGTGTGTAAAACATTGCAGTGGCCAGTGTTGATCACGTGACTTCGTCGTGTCTTCATACAAATTAGGTAAGCAGTAAATTTGGGTTGAATAAAATGAAAGGGATTGTGCTTTCCAAAAATAATAGAAAATACAGATTTTTTAAAAAATTGTTACTTGCCTTCCCAAGGTTTAGCTGGTGTAATCTATTGTATTAAATATAGCCTTTTGCTCAGCTAGCGAGGCTCAGGGGTTGAGCTTTGACCTATGAACCAGGAGGTCATGGTTTGATTCCTGGTCAGGGCACATGCCCGGGTTGCAGGCTCGATCCCCAGTTGGGAGCATGAAGGAGGTAGCTGATCAATGATCCTCTCTCATCATTGATGTTTCTATCTCTCTCTCCCCCTCTCTCTTCCTCTCTGAAATCAATAAAAAATAAAATGTTTTAAATATAGCCTTTTTATTAACTTCTTTTTTCTTGGCAGGTTCATATAAGTACCACCGGGTTAATTGTGACCCCACCCCCAAGCAGCCCAGTGACAACTGGCCCTTCGTTCACATTCCCATCAGATGTCCCCTACACAGCTGCACTTGGAGTGAGTATAGCTTCTCCCATCTCTGTCTCTCTCTTAGGGATTAGTGACATTAACCTGGCACACTCCACCTCCCAGCACCTGCAGTTTACATGGCACATGCTAGGTGGGGTGTGTCTCTTATCTTTTATCTGTTGTCTCTGTGAATCTCACACACACACATACAAAATAGAATCTCTTGCCTGCAGTCTGCCCAAGTTCTTAACAGTGAGGATCAGTGGCCTGAAACTATTAGAGCTCGGTAAAATCCTTTTAATTTTCTTCATGGTTCATCCTGATTTCCTGAAGGCTTAACCTTTATTTCTTTTGAGTTTCTAGACCTTGCTTACTTCTTACAAAAACACATTAGTAGAAATACTGAGGAAGTTGGCTAAATGATTTTCTTGAGTCACATGCCAAGTCGATTTTAAATCTCTCCATGTATGATTCACCTTTTAGTTTCTTGTCTTCTGTGGTATAACCATAGCCATGGCTACCCAGAGGTCCCTGCTGCTGTGGAAGAGCCCTTAGATTATGTTTGATTTTCTTTCTGCAAATATAGCATCCTGCAGACAGAATCTAAACACTAATTGCTTTAAAACATCCTAACGGAGGAAGTTAATAGGAAGAATGAGGGCAGCCAAGGGAGAGAGACACAAAGACAAAGATCACTCTGGAGAAGAAACAAGCAAATACAACCTCAGGCAGCAGAAACACAGTCGTTAAATCCCTGTTTCCAAAAATTACAGGCAACTTGAATGGCAAGGAAGCAGCCATTGTGAGACATCGCTCATCCAGGCCAATGCCTTGGCTTATACTTTCAGACTGTTTCAGTATGGAGTTGAATGAGGATAGAAAAGACCACTAAATCAGATGTCCCCGGTGAACCCCACCCCTATAACTTGCTTTGCCCAACTTCACCTGGTTGTGATACGTTCAGAGAAATGGTGTGGCCCGGTGATCGGGGCACAGGCCAGGGTTGAAAGCCCAGTTCAGCCACTTACTTGTTTTATGAGCAAGGAAAGTTATGTGGCCTCTTTAAGACTCCGTGTTCCTACCTGTAAAATGAGACTAATAGTACCTGCTTCGGAGAGTTAGAATCTAGAATGTAGAGAGAGGGGTGACTATTACTGATCTGGTTATTGACCTCTTCGACTGTTTCAAGGTGGGCCTGTGACATGTGCCACTGGTTTGCTCTAAGAATGCCTTGGAGGGCCTGATTCATTTTTCACTCAGTTTTCTCTGCTCTTGGTACCAGGAATAGTGAGGCTTCTAAGCAGCTGGTTTATTTTCAGGTTGTGGATTTTATATATGTTGTAAAGATTATATTTCCCTCTGCTCGAATGCTTAGAGCCAAATTGGTACCCTTCCCTAGCTGGGACCTCACCACGTTATTAGTCAAAGTGTTGCCTCCATCTAGTTTTATTGTCCTCAGTTTCCTTTTGCCCCATTTTTCTTCTTTTATGTTTGTCTTGATACATTTTATAAATCATTGAAAACTGACTTTGAAACAAGGTGGGATATAAATAAATGCAGTTATTACCTAGCTTGACTTAGACTTTTGAAAAGGTTTTATAGAGTTAAGCGTGTTCTTGTATTTACATGGAAGTTGATAATGTTCTGGTTATGCCCTGGCCAGGTGGCTCCATTAGTTGGAGCGTCGTCCCATGCACCAAAAGGTTGCTGGTTCGATTCCAGTCAGGGCACATACCTAGTTTGCAGGTTTGATTGGGAGGCATACGGGAGGCAAGCAATGTTCCACACTCTCTAACCATCAGTGGAAAAACTATCCTTGGGTGAGGATTAACAACAAAAGATAAAAAAATAAGTAAAATAAATTTTAAAAAATAATAATAATGTTCTGGTTGAAGATCAAAGTTGTAGTTTTTTGTGTGTTTGTTTTTTAATGTTTGTTTTATAATGAACATTATAGCTTCCTTGACAGTACAAGTGTTTGGATTGGGAGGGTGAGTTGCATTAATCCATCTGGGGAGATGGTGAAATTCAGTTAACTTATTGACATGTGGTTTCCCTGAGATTCTGGTAGCACATGGGTGTTTTGATTGGTGCCAAGTGCCATAATCATCCTGCCCTCTCACCTCTGGAGAGGACCCTCCGCGCCTCCCCTCCCCCCCCCCCCCCCCCCCCCGCTTCCCTTCCCACCCCAACATTTGCATAACCAGTTAGTATTCCCATTCCAGATGACTGCTTTGCATGGAAAAATTATTACTTGATTTCTTTTTTTCTTTTTTTTAGTGTTTTTTATTGATTTCAGAGAGAGGAAGGGAGAGGGATAGAAAGATAGAAACATCAATGATGAGAGAGAATCATTGATCGGCTGCCTCCTATACGCCCCACACTGGGGATGGAGCCTGCAGCCTGGGCATGTGCCCTGACCAGGGATTGAACTGTGACCTCCTGGTTCATAGGTCACTGAGCCACACTGGCTGGGCCTCTGACTTGTTTTCTTAACAGGGGAAAAAAACCTGATTTTCCTGGTCTTAGAAAAGTTAATTAGTGGAAAAAACACAGAGCTGAGTCTCACCCCTTGTGGGTTATAAATTTTACCATGTATGAAATGGCCAGTCGCTCTTAGCTGGAGGAGCACTGTCAGGCCAGTCAGGGGGACAGGTCACAAGAGAGCATGAATATACAAAAATGAATTCACACTCAGCGATTTCATCCTGGGATTCCATGAGAAAGATTGCATGTTAAGCAAGAGGAAGGTTTATTAAATGGTATGTCTACTGTGCCAATTTCACTTACTGAAAAACGAGTTATAAACAGACATATCTGTCATCCCAGGAGATGTCTAGATCTCAAAGCCCCTGGTAGATTGGCAGAAACGTTTTGCATTTTAAATGTTGGGTTTAAGTGGAAAAGACTCTCCGGAGAAGGTACCCTCTGCATTTCTCCTTAATCACGGCGACTAACCTTTTTTGAAATTTGAGGTATTTCCTAAGACTTTGAGCAGTATTGCAGCAATAGCGTGCAGCCTGGTAGGAAGGAAACCATGCTTTTCATGGCGTGGATTTATAGGTAATAAATGCCGCCACTATAGTAGAAAATGAAATCTTTTTCTATAAATTGATAATTTTTAATCTCTTATGCCAAATGAAGTATGAGCATATTGTCTCATACATTTCACAAGGAACTATTAAAATGTTAAATATCTAATCTTAGGAACAAACTGTTATTACATCTACCTGATTCAGACATTAGTCTATTATTAGTAGTAAGGGTTTTTTCCAGCTAATTTTTGGAAGGAGGGAGGATGAAACCCTTAGTCTTGTATCTTCTGTACAGTGGCAGGAGAGCTTTTTAAACAAGTGATTCATAATCCCTGATCCTCTGTGCTGGCTGAGAGGTGTTTAACTGTAAGATGTCACAGGGTGCCCAGGTCATTAAAGGCCAAATATAGCCCATAGCCAACTTATAAATAGATTACATTCCAAAAATGTGTTACTCTATTTTTTATGTTAATTACACACACACACACACACACACACACACACACACACACACACCACTGTTTAAAGATACAAAATTAGCCTCGCTGGTGTGTCTCAGTGGTTGAAGGACGACAGTGATTAAAGGTCAACCTACCAACCAGGTCATGGTTCGATTCCGGGGCAGGGCACATGCCTGGGTTATGGCAGGAGTTCTGAGCCTCAGGATGAGGGGTAGGATATGGCCAACACCGTCATAGCAACAGAAAAGAACTCCAGCATCTCAGAAACAGGCCTTTGGATCCTTGCACGTTGTTAAGGGATGGAGGCACAGCATGTTTTCTCACTCGTGAAACACTCACTGAGGATTTGTTATCTCTGTCTGCCAAGCCCAGTGCCGGCAGCACAGAGATGAGTCAGTAAGGCTATTGGACTTCTCAGTCTCACGAATCACAACAGTAGCTGCCAATTATGAGCTTCTGTGGTGCTCCCGGCACAGGAAAGGCAGCGCACCTAAACTATTTATATTTACAAGGCTGTCTCACAGGTCCATATATTAAGGCCTGGAGACCTTATGTAATTTATACAAAGTCAATTAACTAGTACAGGTATCTCTTCTTACAGAACAACTGCAGAACAATAAATACACAATTTGTGAGCAAAATTCCATTCCCCAAGAGGTTTTTTTTTTAATTCTTAATTCCATCTTCCCCTTTAGACATAATCTTCTAAGCATTGACTTCTGGCATTTTTAAATAGATTCTTTAATGTTTTTCTTCAAAGCTGTACCCACAGTTGACTGGTTTAATTCCAGTGAACATCCACCTGAGACGAAAGACTCACTCCTTTTCATCTTTATCTTAATTTTATTGGATTTTGACACCTAAGTTATTTTTTTTTTAATCATTAGTATCAGCACTTTCACCTTTCTACTTTCTACTCATTGCCATAAAAATAAGGTAAAATGCTTAAATAATTGTACACACACTGCCTTGTGCAGATGGTGAGGCTGCTGAAATTGGTAACACCGTTGACTGGCGGGCACGTGCCTAGCAGCAGCTGGGCCTGTTTCATCACCAGCTGGTGCACCTGCGTCTGTGTCCAGGACACAGAAAGGCTGTCCACAGAGGTTCATGGGTAGGGTTGAGAGTGGGTTGACTGGAAATCCGATTTACAAAGAAACAATTATGAGTTGGGGGATAGTAAGTGGTATTTGCCCAAAGGATCCAGAAATGCCCGAAGTCTGTCCTTCGGTCACTTTTTTATTTTGGGAGGTATGTGAGGGGGATGCACACATAAGGGACAGTAGGAAAGAAAATGAACCCTTCATTGTCCGTTGACCTTGTAGCTAAAACTCCAGTGCAAAGCACTTTACAGGTAAGCCTTTGCCCCAGTTTAAACCCCTCTGTTCATTGCAGTGTCACTTATAATAGCTAAGATTTGGAAGCAGCTCAGATGTCCATAAGTAGATGAATAAAAAGCTGTGGTACATTTACACAATGGAATACTACTTGGCCATAAAAAAGAAGGAAATCTTATCTTTTGCGACAGCATGGATGGGCCTGGAGAGCGTTATACTAAGTGAAATAAGTCTGTCAGACAAGTAGCATGTGATTTCACTTACATGTGGACTCTAATGAACAAAATAAACTAACAAACAAAATAGAAACAGACTCACAGATAAAGAGAATAGACTGACAGCTGTCAGAGGGGACGGGTGGAAGGGGCTGGGTGGAAAAGGTGAAGGGATTAAGCAAAAAAATCCACAGTCCTCATGGACACAGACAACAGTGATTAGCAGAGGGGAAAGGGGGTGTCGCAGAGGGTAAAGGGGGGAAAAATGGTGATGGAAGGGAAACTGACTTTGGATGGGTACACACAATACAATATACAGATGATGTATTATAGAATTGTACACCTGAAACCAATATAATTTTATTAACCAATGTCACCCCAATAAATTCAATAAAAAATAAAAAATTTTAAGAAAAATTTCTTTTAATGGGGGCTAGAATTAAAGTCTGAAACTTTAATTCTAACAGGGAAGAGATATCATTTCAGTACTTAACTGTAAGTGTCAGGATTTTGATACTGGGTCTTATTTCAGTGTCAATCCTGATGACATTGCCTGATGAGAATAACTTCCTTACTGAAGTTTGGACAGGTGATTTTATTTTTCAATCTTCACCTGAGGATATTTTTCCCATTGATTTATAAAGTGGAAGGAAGGGAGCGAAGGGGGAGGAGAGAGAGAGAGAAACATCCATGTGAGAGAGACACATCAATTGGTTGCCTCCTACACGCACCCTGACTGGGGACGGGATCAACCTGCATTCCAAGTATTCAATTCCTTGACTGGGAATTGAACCCATGACCTTTCACATGGGCTGACGTTCTAACCACTGAGCACACGGGCCAGGGCTGGACAAGTGATTTTACTGGTTGCTATATACATTAAACCCAAAGCAAAAGAACAACAAATAAAAAGACATAGTGGACCTTGCAGTCTGTCCTTGGCCAAATCCAGATCGTTTAAACACTATCTGGGCTAGTTTCAGGAAAGGGCAAAAGGAGGAGCAAAAGAAGGGGTCTCACACCCAGTAACTGAACTTTTCACGCACGGTGTCCAGTAGCAGATGTGGCTGGTCAGTGGCCTGCAATCCAGTCTGAGAGAGAGCACTTCTTTTCTGGTGCTCACTCTAGCAAAGGGGAGGCATCAAGGACTGCCTTAGATGGCTGAGCCTGGGTTAGAGTCTGTGTTTTTCTGCCCCCAACAACTATTCTTCTACCATGTAAAAACTTCATCTTCTTTCATGATCAGAGGGTCGGGGGAGGGAACCTGGACACTCAAAATATGACCAGTTTACAGTAGCTGACCACTAAGGCCTGTATTTGAGCTAAGTGTTGTTCAGAAGTAGTCATTCTCGCCTCAGACCATTACCACGTACTGGTAAACGGAAGGTCTGAATCTACAGAAACAGGAAGCTCATTTTTAATGCCTGGCAGAATAACATCGCGTGTTCTACATCAGTATTTCTGTGGCCTGGGCCATAGCTATGGACAACTTTACCTTAATCACACAGACTTGCTGAGTTTCCATGAAACTGCAAGGGATGAACACTTGTGAGGCCCCAATTCAATTACCCATGCAGTAGCTGGTGAACGTGGCATTTCACTGTGGTGTCTGTCTGGTTCTGTACAATGGTACGTTGATGACGTATTATTAGCAAAGTGTCACTTGTGCTCCTAGCAGGGCCATGGATGCGTTTGTTTTTTCCTGCCTGTGGAGAGTGCGTGTTGGCCTCTGCAGCCACGCTGGCCTGGGCTGTGAGAGAACACAGGCGGGTCTCCGGGTCAGCTCTGGGTGAGTGAAAGGCTGTGGTTTGCGCTGTGGAAATTTCAGGTCTTGCAGGATAGCAAACTGCCCGAAGCGTAACCTACAGTGGATTACCTTTTGAACTTCCACATCGCCAGATTATTTCAGTTGAGGTTGTTTATAAAGCAACCCACAAAACTTCCTAGTGTGTCACAGCCCAGGACTCACCAGAGCCCTATCATTTTACCAGCCCCGCAGGGCTGAGCAACATCTAGGAATCTGATTTTAATCAGACTCTCCCTCTTGGCCTTTGTCTGTGTGCTTCTATACCCACGAATACACATGCACTCACATATGCACATTTCCCCAAAGATGGGTAACCCAGCATTGGGAAAAATCCTGTCCGATTTTTTATTTTTTTTAAAGACTGTTTCAAGCACAACCTTTGGGGTCTTTTAGAATATTCTCTTTTATCCACATTTTAAATGCCTACTGTTTACTCTTTGTAAAAGGAACATGCATGAAACATTTGTTTACTGTATAAACCACAGGAGGTGACCTATTTTTACGTTTTGTTAACAAAATGTGATGTATATTTTGATCAGACCTGTCGATGCCCTTGCCTCCTTCTTCTTAGGACCAATTTAATACCGCCTCTGTTTTAGTAAGTTAAAATATAACAGGCGATGTTCATTTCCTCTCCTCTTGAAGATGGGGTTCTGTGGAGAGTGAGGAATGGAGCCTTTTGGTTCTGTGCCTTTGGTGCTGTGCTCAGGAATTCCTAGGAGCGGTGACTGCGGGGCTCCTGTCACGCACATGCCATTGGTCTCCTGTCTCACCACAGCCACGCTGTTTTGGGTTTAGGAAGGTTTAAATGGAAACCAGCTAAGTGGTAATTTTATAATCTCCGGTGGTATATTAGTCGCGGTACAGTCTGGACTTGTTACCTCACCTGTCGAGCCGCCGGTGTGTCATTGCCCACGAACTAACTGCCCAGGTCACGTTTGCTGAGCGTTTTACCAAGGATTAGCGTTCCTTCTCTCCACTGTGTCACTGGGAGGAGACCAAATGGAACGAAGGCTTGTCCTTCTCCTGGTTAAAGGGTTTGAAGGCTCTGAGCCCAAGTCTGTGCCAATTCCAAAGCTGTGACAAATCTGAATGCTGCCCTCGTTCCTATGGGGAGCGTGAAGAACGTCCTGGAAGCTCTGGCTTTCTGAGCTGCCCTTGGCCTCGTCCGGGTGAGCGCTGTGTAAGCAGCTCCGCGCCCCATGTATTTCTGCACTGGCTGTTCTGCACCACCTTCAGCTGCTGTGTGAGGGGAAATCCTTCCAGAAAGTCACTTTAGCAAAAAAAAAAAAAAATACTAAATAAGAGTGTGTGAGACGGTTGCAACATGCATGTCTAGAAATTGGAAAATGGTTCCCCTCAGTTTATTATGTTTGTGGAGCTATGTACTTGAACAGGCAGATGCAGTTAGTGTTGTTGATGAGATTCAAGTTTTTATTTCAAAAAAATAGACATGAAATGACTGTTAGGATCTATGTTTAGAAGTCATTGGATTTTTCTTATTAATATGCTGATGTGTCTCAGCCATCTATGCTTTCATAGGTGTATTCTTTACTCCTCCTCTCTCCTTGGATTCAGTTTTTACATCTAGTGGTTCAAAGATTTGGGGAGGGTGGGGAGGGGTGGGGGTTCAGTCGGGTCTTTCTGTGCCTGTGTTCCCAGGAGTTTCAGTATACAGACCCTAAAGAATTCTCTGGGTGTGTGGATCAGAAGGTAACAATTGCTCCATTGATTTCCAAAAGGCATGGAATCCTGTAGGCAGAACCCCATTAGTCTGTGCCCATAAAAGAACCAGCAGCTTTTCACTGGTGTACTTGTTAAAGATTACCAGCCTTGATAGTCCTAAATTTCAAACGCTGGCAGAGTTGAGAAAAGAATAAGCAAAAGTAGCAACAACAGCCCAGTGATTGTGGCTTGCTATTGTTTGGGCTTTGTGGAGACCAGGCATCAAAGGAAATTTTCTTCTGAAGGCATGGCTTGCGATATAGTGCAGCCCTATTGTTTTGCATTGTGTTTAAGTTTCAAGTTACAGAAACAATCACAAATTAATTCCCAGCAAGCAGTGTGACATTATAGCTGCCCCTTTGAAACGCATTTGGATTCTTGGCCAAGTCTTATACTTAAAAGTCTTATTCATCTTAAAATTACACACAATTGTTTCGGGTGGTGTTTTGTTTTTTTTCTTTCTTTCCCTCCTTCCAAGCAGGATTACTTACCTGTTCGCTGGAAAAAATTGCCATGGCTTTAAGATCTTAAAGGAGAACAAGATGGGAGTCTTGTGGTGGTGGTGGTGGTGGTGGTGGTTGGGGGGTGGGGGGGCTGTTTGTTTGTTTATTTTGTTTTAAGGACACTTTCATCTTAGGTAGCTTGCTGGTTCTGTTCTGTTTGGATTCCATTGAAGTCTTTTCCCATGGATTTCTGATTCCTTTTCCTTCCCACCTCCCATAAAAGATGTAAATAAACATTGTGTTCCTTATTGTCCCCCTCTCTTTCTTATACCAGACTATGAACCCTCCTCTGCCCCCGCCCCCTCTCCTGGTCTCCACACAGCCTGGCGCTGCTGCTGCTGCTGCTGCTGGAACAGGACCCAGGCCCACAACGGGGCCCACTGACCAGATTGCACATTTACGACCTCAGACTCGCCCCAGCGTGTAAGTGAGGGTGTCATTTATTGCTGCTTAAACATGCATTTCAAACTCAGCCCAAAGAGCAGAGGCAGAGAAACACCTTTCTGATATGAGCTGCTGACAGGCTTATGGCTTCCAAAGTGGTTTGTGTTCTGCAAACTTCTACCCAGTCATGCATATAATGAGGAGACTGCTGAAACAAAATGGGCCCAATACAAGCGCTCGCTAGGCAGCCGTCCTGCTGAGGGAAGGCCTTTCAGAATTTAGGGAGACAGCTGTTTGCTTCTTCATAATATTATATGTGTACGGAGCTGCCTTTTTGTCTCATTTTCGTTCCTTGCATTGGGATACTAAGGAATGAAAAGGTATTCCATACAAACCAGGTCTACTCGTAGTACACATGTGAAAAGCTGGAAGTCCCTAGTATCCAGAAAAGTCTAGTTATCTCATTCAGAGTTTATCCGTGGCAGAATACATCTAGGTTTTCGTGGATCTTATATTGTGTGAGTTTATACATGGAACAGGTCAGCCCTGGGAAGAACAACTGATTAGCGTAGCCTGCCTGGTTTCCATTATGGTGGTGGCACAGTCACCTTGCGTGGTGGGGCTCTTCTGTACGCCCTGTGATCTGGACTTTTATTTCCCTTTGACTTTTTCCAACTCAGTCTTGTTCCTGGCTGAGCACACAAAAGCAGGTGCAGCCCAAGCCTCTGGGTTCAGCCTGTGTGCGGAAGGCAGCATGTTGTGCCTCCCGGTGGGGTTTCACACCATATGCCCACATTTGGGGCTACTCTCCAAGCCTAACAAGTGCCATTTGAAGAGCTCAATTTTCCCAGTGGGTGCCTAATCCCCAGCAGCATGTTAGGCACTCTGGGAAGCTGCCTTAATTCTTTCACACCCTGCAAATACCATTTGGTGGGGTGGTCACCTTCACACGGGGGGCGGAGGTCTGGGGGGGCGGTAGACCAGGTTGGCAGTTCTTAATCAGGAAGGCTTCTGCCTTTTCTTTCTTTTTCTTTGGGGGCGGGGGGGGAGCGGGGGGCTCTGCCTTTTCAATGTCGATGGCAAAAGCTTTCAGCGGACAAGTACCAATACTGCTTACAGATGAAAGGACTGTACTTTCTGTTTTCATTTGTGCAAGATATTCAAGACTTTATACCATGGACGAGCTTTGAGCATCTTGGGTTTTGGTGGTTACTCGGCCCGAAATCAGATATTCTTTCTATTCCAGGTATGTTGCTATATATCCATATACTCCCCGGAAAGAGGATGAGCTGGAGCTGAGAAAAGGGGAGATGTTTTTAGTGTTTGAACGTTGCCAGGATGGCTGGTTCAAAGGGACATCGATGCATACCAGCAAGATCGGGGTTTTCCCTGGTAATTATGTGGCACCCGTCACAAGGTATGGCTTTGAACAAGTGGTTTACTAAGTTCCAAACAGAGAAGCTTTGTTCTTCTCCGTGGCTCTCAGCCTGTCCAGATTCCTTCTCACGTTATAATTGCCTGTTACACAGCCAACATTTTTTAAAAAGTCCGTATCTGTGCTTGCTGAGATCCCTTCTAACTCTAAAATGCTTGGCTCACTTTTCACATGGCTATATGTGAAATTGTAGGTTTCTACAAATAAATGTACTGGGTTTTAAGTTATTTGCTTTAAGTAACATGTAAAAGACCATTTTCAGTATTTTTTTCTGCTGGAAAGAGCATAATGTTTCATCTAAACAAAAGCTATATTATTAATACTTCCATGTTTCTATAATGCTTGCTATGTGCCAGGCAGGCAGATTTCTAAATGGGTTGCACACGTTCACTCCAAGTCCTTGAACAACTCGTTGTGGTAGTTTCTGTTATTATCCTCTCTTGATAGATGAGGAAATGGAGGTACAAAGAGATTAAATAACTGGTCTGAGATCACATAATGAAGAAGTGCTCAAACCCAGGTGGTCCGACTCTGTGTTCTAATAGCTTGATTACCTTTGAATTCTGACAATTAATTTCTGTAATACAGTCAGAAATAAAATTCCTTAGCTATGGCATAGATCCTCTATTCTTCTTAACTAAAGGTGATTTTGCTTCCCTGGGGGAATTAGGCAATGTGTGGACACACATTTGATTGGCACTGGGGCGGGGGCGGGCGCAGGAAGAGAGGCTGTTGTTGGCACCTGGTGCACTGAAACTAAGGATGCTGCCGAAGGTGCTGCAGGACACAGGGCCCCTCCCACAGAAGGGAATTAGCTGGCCCCAGATGTCACTGAGGTCTAGAAGGCCTGTTACAGGGTAATGGGAAGTCAGGGCTGTTAGATATACAAAATGTTCTTTATTTCATTTCGAGATAAGCCCACCTTCTGGTCACTGAGGAAAGTAGCCTCGGAGACTGAATGGAATGCCCTTAATGGCATCGACATTCAGGGAGCCTCAGTTTCTGGCCACCGGGCTCTTAAATAGCCCAGGTTTAACTGTGATAAATCATTCCTTAAACTCTCTGATTCTGAATAAAAGGTTTAATGAATTGACATGTTTGTCAGCTGTTGGCCTTGACTTATAGGTTGGCCAGCAGCCTAATCAAATATAAATCACTGTTGTTGCAGATGGTGACAGGGTACTAGCTTTCATTTGACTTGCAGATTTTTAATCGATATAAACCGTGTTTTCTGTATATGTTAAAATCTACATTCAGGATCCAGAAGGTAGATCCAGATAGGCCCTTCCTGGTCGGAAACACACACACACACACACACACACACACAAAACAACAACAACAAACCACAGAAACAACTAGGGGAAGTAAAATAAACCAAAACCAAAATATTAAGTTAATAAAGGAAAACATTTTCATAAGACTCAAAAACAAATTATTTAAAGTCTCTGGAGAGTTGCTTACTTAGAGCTAATTCTTTGTTACTCCTCATGGTACATAATAAGGACGTTCAAGTTAATGAAGTAGTCTACTTAGTAGAAAGTTACTATAAATAGAATTGATGTTTAAATGAATTTAGAATGTTAAAAAAGCATTACACAAAACTATGCCAAACCTAATTTAATTAAATTCAACCACTAAGTATTTGTTTAGAACTGGCAGTACCACTATAACTACAAATCCTGGAGAAATGGAAAAGAACCATTGCACACTGACCCCGTCTTCAAGGAGCTTTGACTGAGTCAGGAATATTTAATAAGGAATTATCTAAAAAACAATACACTCATTTTTGTAATCAGGGTCATAGGACAGAGAAATCCACATGAAAGATAATCAGAAAGTCTTCAGCCTGAGCCTTAGGCAAGGCTTCTTGAAATGATGGGATTTCTGCTGGATCTTGAAACCAATGAGATTAGGGTAAGTCAAGAGAAGCTGGGGAGGACAGTCCAAGAGTGTGTGTATATGTGTATGTGCACCCACATGCATGTACACAAGCCCTTGGGTGACGTGGGGCTGGGGGCAAATAGGAGAAGGGCAGAAAGCATGGGCAGGGCCATGGACATATGATTGTAAGGTAACAAGCCTGGCTTCTTGGATAGCAGAAGTAGGAGAATCCAGGGCCTCAAGTCAGTGGAGGGGTTCGGCCTTGGTGTGGGAAGCTGAACCTGGTAACTGGATGTTCTTGAGCAGAAAATACGATACATGATTTTCTGTGACTCAGAATACATTGCAAGACCTTTCTCTGCCTCAGGGCCATTGTGAATTTGAATTTGCTATTTTTACATTTTGTAAAAATAATCCCATTCATTTTTTAAAATGTTGTAAAGCTTTGAGTCTTTTTTCCCCCTTTTAATTGTTCTGTCCCCCACTTCGCTAATGGATGGGGCTGTCTGTTTTTCTGTCTCGGCAGGGCGATGACAAATGCTTCCCAAGCTAAAGTTCCTGTGTCTACAGCTGGTCAGACAAGTCGGGGGGTGACCATGGTCAGTCCCTCCACTGCAGGAGGGCCTGCCCAGAAGCTCCAGGGAAATGGTATGGCCGGGAGTCCCAATGTGGTCCCCACAGCAGTGGTGTCAGCAGCTCACATGCACACGAGTCCTCAGGCTAAGGTCTTGTTGAACATGACGGGGCAGATGACAGTCAACCAGGCCCGCAATGCTGTGAGGACAGGTAAGGAGGAAACCGGACTGGGAAGCATCAGGAAAAGGGTCGTCTGCCTAGTATCAGATCTTCCGTGACAGATGTTGACAAAAGCAGATATGATGTAAAATAACAAATAACAGGAAATAGAAGTAGGCAGAGTCCAGTCAGTGGCACTTGATGTCTGCTTACTTTGGCCAAGCCTTCCCTGATGTGTAGATCGAAAGCCTGAAAGACACTATGCCGATCCTAAGAATGTCAGTAGTATTTGAAAATAGGACTTCTGTAGCCAGGATCATATGATCTCAAATCTCACTGTACATCTACTGCAGCCAACCGGTGTGCGGATAATTTTTTATGAATTTAGTCACAAGTCTATCTTAGACCCAGTGGGACCTTAAATCGATTTCTTTTTTTTTTTTTTTAAATATTTTATTGATTTTTTACAGAGAGGAAGGGAGAGAGATAGAGAGTTAGAAACATCGATGAGAGAGAAACATCGATCAGCTGCCTCCTGCACATCTCCCACTGGGGATGTGCCCGCAACCCAGGTACATGCCCTTGACCGGAATCGAACCTGGGACCTTTCAGTCCGCAGGGCGACGCTCTATCCACTGAGCCAAACCGGTTTTGGCCGATTTCTTTTTTCTATAACATTGACTACCTACCAAGAGTCTTGGGTAACAATGAGAGTAAACTTGTGACTTCTCTCTGGAAAAGAAAGAAATGGTTATAAGAAAAGAGAGAATCATTTTTAAAAAGGACTGGAGGCCAGTGCAGTTTGACAGTGTAGACCACCATCAGATACTGGCTTTGAGTCTCTCATTCCAGGGAAAGGCCTTCTTTCTCTAACTGAAGGGCCTCGGGGTTTACAGCTAAGCTTCTAGGGCAGTGATGGCGAACCTTTTGAGCTCGGCGTGTCAGCATTTTGAAAAACCCTAACTTAACTCTGGTGCCCTGTCACATATAGAAATTTTTTGATATTTGCAACCATAGTAAAACAAAGACTTATAGTTTTGATATTTATTTTATATATTTAAATGCCATTTAACAAAGAAAAATCAACCAAAAAAATGAGTTCGCGTGTCATCTCTGACATGCGTGTCATAGGTTCGCCATCACTGCTCTAGGCACTCAACAGACTCCAGAGTGGATCTGGAAGGGAACTGCATCCAGGGACCCAACTAAGATGAAGTGCTTTTGAACCACCACACATCCATTGTTTATTGTAATAAATGCAGTAGCAACCTTTCATTATGGACGGATGCAATGAAATGACTCATAGTTTGATGAGCAGCGTTTATTGGAAAGTTGAATCTTACCGTGTTCCCTCCTGTCATTTACTAGTTTTGGCACACAACCAAGAACGCCCTACGGCAGCGGTGACGCCCATCCAAGTACAGAACGCCAGCGGGCTGGGCCCTGCGTCTGTGGGCCTGCCCCATCACCCCTTGGCCTCCCCACAGCCTCCGCCTCCGATGGCTGCCATCAATATGGGTCGCAGCGCCCCCTTAGCCTGTGCTGCAGCAGCTTCGATCACCTCCCCCAGCCTCACCTCCACCTCCCTGGAGACGGAGCCCAGCAGCCAGATAATGGCCATTCTCTCTGGACTTCCCGCCTCTCCTGACAGTGCTTCATCAGCTTGTGGGAACAGTTCAGCAGCCAAACCAGACAAAGATAGTAAAGTAAGGCCAACATCCTGTTTCTCTGCTGGTGTTGTGTCCCATCATTTCTACTCATGAAGGGACCCGTTCAGCATTCCTTCAAGTGCTTAATTGTGTGTGCTTCTGTGCCAGTTGCTAGGTTCGTGTTTCTCTGCATTTCAGCACCCACTAGTTGCCAGGCCCTGTATTAGGTGCTGGGGAGATCACAGTGAGTAAGACTTACTGCTTCTCCACCTGTGGCTTACATCTCATGGAGGAATTTCCTTTCCCTTTTCCTCATTCTGTCATCATTTTGCTGTCCTTAATTCTTCCTGTCCAGTCAGTTTGCTTTTTGTTAGCAGTTCTGCAATAGCTGTACACACTGAGTGGCCAGATTATTATGATCGGCCAGATTATTAGGACCACCCCATCAGTACTTCATTGACACTTCCAAAAATACTGAATATTGAAAACTTCCTAAGCAAATACTCTCAAGGTTTTATTATTATTATTATTATTTGCATAACTAATTCACTTCATTGTACTGATGGGGTGGTCATAATAATCTGGCCACTCAGTGTATGGATGGATGGATGGATGATAGATAAATAGATAGATAGATAGATAAATAGATAGGTATTTAACATACAAAGGGGATGAGACTGTTGGTGAGAAATGGTATTTGTGGATTTATTTTTCTATACTATACTTGGTTATAATCAGCATGAATAGTTTTTCTCTTGACTTGAAATTGAGGGGGAAATTATTTTATAAATCCTTTGATCTTTATAAGTCTCTCATTTGGGGCTGAGTTTCAAAGAAAATATACATGGGAGGCTGTGTTTGAAAGACTAACCTATTGTTGGGTTTGGAGGCAGGTGGTTGGAGCCAAGGGGAGTTGATGGTGATTAAATGTGAATTGAAAGAGAAGAGTGATAACAAAGTCTGGAGAATTGCATTATGTTCATGACCTTTCCACAGTATGTCATGCGTTTCTCCTTTTAAAAAGCCCAGTTCTAGGAAGCTCTAGGGTGATTATAAACAGCCACCTGGTCATTGGTAATAGGTGTTGCTCTATTTAAAAGATTAGGTAAGCCTATAAATAGGGTTTTATAAGGAAATAAACTTTACAGCTTACCAAAAAGTTAATATTTAATCGTTGGGTTAACATGAGCATTTTTGAAAAAGATTGGTATCTGTCCAGCGTTTATAATTAACTACATTAAACTTGCACTCAAGCTGACATATTCAACTTTGTCAATATCTTTAAAAGAATCATTTCACAGTTTAGATTTTAAAGTTTTGGAACAGTGTGTCTCAGGGCCCTTGTCACTGAGGAGAATAGGGTGTCTTCAGCTCCTGAATCTCTGAGGCTTGGGAGGGCCTGTGCTAGACAGAATAATGGCTCCCAAAAGATGGCCATGTCCTACTCCCTGAAATTTGAGACTGTTTCCCTCCATAGCAAAAGGAATTTTACAGGTGAGATTAAAGTAAAGGTTTTAAAGGGATTATCCTGGATTACCAGGGTGGGATATATGTGATTTCAAGGGTCTTCATGAAGGGGAGGCAGGAGGATCAGGGCCAGAGGAGATGTGGCCTAGAAGCAGAGATCAGGGTGATTCAAGGGAGGAGCCACACGCCAAGAAATGCAAGTAGCTACTAGAAGCTGGAAAAAGCAAGGAAACAGACTCTTCCCCAGGGCCCCAGGAGGAATGCAGCCCTACCAACACCTTGATTTCAGGACCTGATTTTTATCCCAAAGTTTGTGATAAACCAAGACAGGACCTTACTTGGGTTATGCTGTTGAGCACCCATCCTCAACAGATGGCCACTGGCCCGTTTGGATACCATATTGACCCTGAGTGCCCTAGCTCCAGAGTGTCCATGCCATTTTCTTTTATTTTGAGGTGCTACGGAGAAATTATTGATCTCCTTCCTTATATGATGTCTTAAAGTATTTCAGGGTCATCTTTTTTTTTTGAGGCCACACTCTTTAAGTTTTTTTTCACTGTTCCTCATCACAGTTTACAAGCTTTCCCTTCCTCAATCTACCTCCTCATTTAATGTTCCAAGTCCACTAGAGACTTTTTCTGATTGATGTAAGTAAGTTCAGTGATTCCATGATTAACATGACCAGAGTGTCATTCAGCCCACATTTCTTCATCCTGTCCACAAGGCACAAGAATATCGTGGAAGAACTTTTCAAACCTCCATTGAGATCCGAGTGTCTTTTACGTTCTCCCATCCAAACAGTTCCCCAGTGGCCCCATCGTTTTGGCGCTACTTGCTGTTAGCAAGCATGTCCTGGAGGAGTCTACTCTTCAGAGTCTCATTTCCTTTCCTAGGTAGACCTTGCACTTAATACACTATTCTAGAATTTTCCAGATGGTCTGCAAAATACATTGTTGTTTCTTTTTGAAAATTAGGACTACACATGCCCTTCTTTGGCCCGTTGAATTGACCCAATCTCAGGTCCACCAGGATCTATCAAAGATTATTGGTAGCATTTCAGCTGGTAATTTTCTTTGTGCTCTGGGGTAAATTCAACCTGCCAAGAGTAGTCATTTGATCTCTAAGTCCCGATCTCTTTATCCGTTTCCCTCTTAGCAAGGTTTGTTCTTCCTTTCCCGTCTGAAGATTATCCTTGTCTGTCTTATCATCTGAGAACTACCATCTGTCTCAAACAGCAGGTCTGTGTCTTTCTTGTTCTCAGTTCAAACATAACTTTTAAGCAGCGTAGGCCTCCACCCCCCCCCCCCAACTTTTTTTTTTTTGGTCTTTAGCATTTTTGCAACTTTAAGCTCATATGGACAATGCTAATGTTCTTTCATATGGACCCTTCTCTTGATCTTTTTGTAGGGGTCCTTTAAAAATTTGAGCTCATTAGGCTGCCCCCTGGGGGATCACATCAGTACCTTTAGATGGCTATACATTTTCATCTGCTGGGGTAATTTGCAATTGTATAGTTAGAATTTTATTCTGGAGAGCCCTCCCTCTTGAAGTATCTTTCCTTTTGAGTTTCAGGTCAAGCATATATTTTTCTTTGAACTTTTAAAATCAGTTCTTTTAAACTTTAGAGTTCAAATCTAACTATAGAGAACTTCTTTTTGAGTGCTTACCTCTAAGTTCTCAATGTTTCTGCTTCACCAGCCAAAGCTCTTTACCCCTTACCTGCTCGCTACTTTGCTGCCCCCCGCCCCAACCACCATTTGTTGATCAGAATTAGATCCAAAGTTGCAGTTTGTTCAACTTTCTGTGAGATTAATTTATCAGAATGTCAAGGACAAAGTGTATCAGAGATTCTAGTTGCAGTTGAAACTTCCAGCCAATATATAGGTATTTGATCATTCCCTCTTTATTTCTTCTTCTTTTGTCATTTTGTGATCACCCACTGCCTTAAACTGTCCAGACAGTGTCAGGTGTGTCTCCCAAATGATAGCTTGTCAGTTGCCCTCTTCTTTCCTCTGTACCTGAATGCTCTGCCATGGCTACCTCTGGTGTGCCATGGAGCGTGTACCTTTTCCACGTGCACATGGGGCCATTGCAGCCCTGTATCAAACTGAGCTGTTCCATTGAACAATGTTTTATTTGAAAGCCCTATATCACAGTCTCAGAAACGTGTTTTTGTCCTTGACTTAAGTCTCTAACTAATTTGGTCTGGTAACTGCATTCTGTGCTTTGATAAGTAGGCATCTGAAGCTCTGTAACATCTTTCCAAACATCATTTCAGTGATGTCTGGTCAGAATCCTGGGCCTTCCTGCCATTGTTGTTGTTCTTTCTATGAGATTTCTGATGTCTTCTGCAGTTAACAGTTTAACATCTTCATCCGGACATTTTTCTAACTTCATATTCTGTTTAAAGGCTTCATTATTTGGTCAGCTAGTCTCCAGGCAAATGAGTTTGCCAATCCTTACGAGATGCTCATGTATATGTATGTGGGTGTGTGTGTGTGTGTGTGTGTGTGTGTGTGTATAATTGTGTTTTCTTATTATTAAAAAATTTAATTATACATATTTATTTAGAAGTTAGAGAAAACCTAAATATAATCCAAGAATTCAAAGAAAGTCATTAATATTATTGTGTATATGTGTTTTCCCCCTAGATACCAAAATATAAGAAATATTATTTTGGTATAGTAAGCTTTCATCTAGAAAATAAAATCGTTTTCTTCGGCAACAGTTATGTAATTAACTGTTTTTATATACTCTCTAAATTCTGTTAAAAGATAAAGTGGGGTATATTTTACAAATTTAAAGAGTTTATATGAGCAAATACCTATTAAAATCAGGCAGCGCCCAACCAGAAGTGGTCAGGAGAGCTCACCAACAAGAGTCAAAGGCAAGACTTTTATAGAGAAGACAGGAAGCAAAGCCAGGAAAGTTTTTGATTGGCTATAGCTTAAGAAGTTGCCTTACTTGGGAAAGCCTAGTTGGCCGTTTGTGATTGGTTGTCCTTAGGTTTTGATTTCTTAACCTTGAGGCATTGACAGGTTTAGGTTTTGGTTTGCTACTGCAGGCTGCTCAAGCACTATGCAGTGATGGCGAACCTTTTGAGCTCGGCGTGCCAGCATTTTGAAAAACCCTAACTTAACTCTGGTGCCGTGTCACATATAGAAATTTTTTGATCTTTGCAACCATAGTAAAACAAAGATTTATATTTTTGATATTTATTTTATATATTTAAATGCCATTTAACAAAGAAAAATCAACCAAAAAAATGAGTTCGCGTGTCACCTCTGGCACGCGTGTCATAGGTTTGCCATCACTGCACTAGAAGCACCTCAGTGTAATGGCCGCTAACTTAATTTAGCAGTTTTAACCCTCACATCAGAAGAAGAGAAGAAACCACCTCTACTGCACCACTCTACCCCAAGTGCTTCCATGTCCCACCCCGCTTCCTGGTCTGGGGACGCTTCAGGGGTCTTCTCTGACGTTGACAGTCCTTCCCAGAGGAGTCAGCAGGAGCGGTGTTGGTTCTCGGCCACATCCTTGTTGTTCCTGAAAGGCAGTATTTTTACAAGAGGTCTCAACATTTAGTGCCTCAAACCTCCCACCCAAATTCCTGATGACTCTCCCTTGAGCTAACCACAGGTTTTCTTCAATCAATCCGCTAATGTTTGAGGACCTTTGCTATTATTCTCAGTTTTCTTAAGAAGAAGGACCATCTGGTTTTTAATAGCCCATTTTCTTCTATCCTGAACACATGTCCTTGAAGTCCCTATGGATCACTCTTTGCTCACATGGTCTTCCTTTCTCCCCAGTTTTTATTTTGCTGTCAAAAATGAGATGGCCTGGCCTGGCCGGCATGGCTCAGTGGGTTAGCGTCGACCTATGAACCAGGAGGTCACGGTTCGATTCCCAGTCAGGGCATATGCCCAAGTTGCAGGCTCGATCCCCAGTGTGGGCTGTGCAGGAGGCAGCCAGTCAATGATTTTCTCTTATCACTGATGTTTCTCTCTCTCCAGCCCTCTCCCTTCCTCTCTAAAATCAATAAAAATATATTTTTTAAAAACTTAAAAAACTGAGATGGTCTGTGGGCTTCACCATTTCATTTTCTTAAGGAGAAGCCCATCCACACTTCCTGGTAAGTGGTTGGAGTCACTGCTGCTGCCCCGGCCAACAGCTGGGACTCAGACTAGGTCTGGACAGTGCAAATCTGCACGCGGAGTTTGGCTCATGGTGACCTTGGTGATCAGCAGCCCTGGGTCAGTGTGTCTGCTCTTGCCGTCCATTGCACAGAGTAAACTGCTTCTACAGACGTTGCCTGTGCAGAAGTCACAGAAAAGTAGGGGCTTGGTTCTAGTATAACCCCTTCCTAGCAGTGTGATTCTAGGCAAACTTAGGGAGATTTAGGCAATGAGAATAGCATTGATCCTATCTCATCAGGTGGATGGGTGTAAGGAATACATGTGGAAATCTTTATAAAATGCATTAAGATTTTTGAATCCAGTGGTATTTAACCATCTCTAGAATATCATATGGCCTTTCCCTCTTTCTGTGCACGTTAAAAAAAAATGCTTTCCTGCCTCCTCTCCCACTTCCAGACAGCACCTCCTCCACCCCCTGCACATTCTCTCTCCCCTGACCCTGCTTTATTTTTCTACAGAGCACCAGTTTCACAGCCATGATGGTGTCTGTCTAGAGAATGTAAACTGCTTGTTGTCTTGCCCACTACTGTATTCCCAGAGCCTGGCACATTGTTGGTTCATACATGACAGTCATATCTGTTAAGAGAATGAGTGATTGTTACTAGACAGTCGTATGAATTAAATTTTTGAAATTCCTTACCTAAGAACAGTGACTCTGATTATTAGGAGTCTGACTGCATAGATTTTTGATGACCAATGGCCTGGAAGACTATTTACCTTTCGCTACTTTCTCTGTACATCTGAGGGCAAGGAGAGGAATAAGAGGAAGACTCAGGGGTAGAATGTGGTTAAATTGGCCGTTGCTCCTATGAGATTTATTTTTGCTTGGGAAGGAGCTTTGACTTGATGTTTCCCATATTGTACTCATTTTGTGTCATGTGACTAATAGGAAGTTATTAAGTTGAGGTTCACAAATTATTTTTATATGTAAAATTATTCTTCCTGTTACCTGGTGATTATTTTCTGGCCCAAATAGTTCTTTCCCCCGCCCCGTTTTTTGTTTTGTTTTGTGTTGTTGTTTTTTGTCTGAGAAGCCATTTTAAATCATCAAATCTTCTGATGAGAAAATGATGACCATAACATTATTTTGTCTATGAATAATTTCTTGGGAAACCCACAAGAGAAGAATTATTAAGGCTTATGTTCAAAGATATGTCCCCCCCCTTTTTATGCATGCTCACATAACATTTAAAAAACTGCTGAGATGTAGTCTTTATTAATTCATCTGTAGTTTTCTGCCCCTGGATTTTGAAAAAGCAAAGGCTCCGGGAGATGATAAGTATCTGAGTTTGCAAAACGATCTCTTCCATGTGCACCTTGTTCTGCTAACGTAGAAAACATCGGAATATGATATTAAAAGCACAGCATCTGGGAACAGGGCGGAATCTTTGCCATGTGAATACCCAGCCCTACCCGCGCACCCCGCAACAGCACCTAATCCTCCACCGCCTGCTCCTCGGATCATCGGCAGCGGCTGATGATGAGAACACATCCCGAGAAGCCATTAGCGCAATCTGTATTTAATGTGTTTAATCATTTTAGATGAACCAAGTCATCTTTCTTCTTAATCACTTTAGAGGCTGTTCCCTGGGCGCCCTTCAGTTAACTGATATTTTTCTGAGTGCCCAGACTGAGCTTTTAAAGAAACATCTTTAGCTGAGGCTTGCTGAGATTGCAGTTTATCAATGGACTTGATGTTCTCAGTAGGACTGTAGGGGTCCGGGGATTAGAGAGTGCTTTCCTGCATCCTGGCAGAAACAGCTGGAAGCTGAGGCTGGCTGCTGCTTTAGATGTGGAGCCAGTGAATGGTATTCTTTCCCTGCCCATTTTCCAGCCCCCCAGACCTCAGGCTCCTTAAAGAATGGCAGCAGCTCCAACAGGCTTCCATCAGCCCACTTCATTGGCCATTGTGTAGAGCAGTGGTTCTCAACCTTCTGGCCCTTTAAATACAGTTCCTCATGTTGTGACCCAACCATAAAATTATTTTCGTTGCTACTTCATAACTGTAATGTTGCTACTGTTATGAATCGTAATGTAAATATCTGATATGCAGGATGGTCTTAGGCGACCCCTGTGAAAGGGTCGTTCGGCCGCCAAAGGGGTCGCGACCCACCGTAGAGGGAAGTCTTTATCGCCACTGGATGATCCAGAAATAGCCCCTTCCTTTAGCCCTGGGATGCGCTAAATATTTCCCTTCCTCCCACCTGCCTCATGCTCTCGCGGTCTTGGCCTCTCGGCTCAGGAGGTGCCGGGCTCGGCCCCAGGCAGGCACTGGGTGTGATGCACAGGTGTATGAGCTCCAGGCACTGCGCTCAAGCAGGTCGTCCAACTTTATAGGCTCATTTATTGGAACGCATAGAGTAACCCGTTGGCAAATGTGGAGTTAGTTACATGAAGCAATAGCAAGGAAGGTGCGTTGAGGCCAGGCCTTAAAGAGAAATGCAAAAGGGTCTTCCTCTGGCTGGGGTGGGGAGGAAGGGGGTCCGCCATCGATGGATTGGCTCTTCTCGTCGGCAGCCCGCATTGGGCATGGACAGAAATGTCTTGCCCCTCCTCTGTTTCTGACCCAGGAGTTAGCACACACTGTGAGCCACGTTAGGATGGTAAACAGGCCTGTGGCGCACTCTCCCCAAGTGCCTTTCGTTGTCTGATAACTGATTACATTGTCGCTTCCTTTTTTCCTGCCATTCGGGGTCGAATGGAACTATGTCATTATGAAGTCGAACTCTTCCCCAATGAATTTCCACTGGGTATGAACTGACTCATATTCCCAAGAAAAAGTTCTTATTGTTATATCTCTTTGTGGGCCCCTCATAATTCTGTTTTTCTATTAGTGGACCTTAGTAATAATTCCCATTTGTCTATAGAGTTTTCTAAAGAATTGCTTCTATACGAAATGTTTTATTTTCAAGCCATGCTTCCATTCAGATGACTTTATAATGTAGTTGACATCTTAGTAAAGCAGTTTAAAATGATGATTGCTACCTATGTTTAGTCATCAGAAAGAACATTGAGCCCTGGCCGGTGTGGCTCAGTTGGTTGAGCTTTGTCCTGTGCACTGAGAGGTCATGGTTAGATTCCTGGTCAGTACACGACAATGCTCAGTCCCCAGTAGGGGGCGTGCAGGAGGCAGCCAGTCGATGTTTCTCTCTCTCTTCCTCTCCTTCCCTCTTTCTCTAAAATCAATCAAAAAGTATTTTTCTTTAAAAAAAGAACATTGACATTTAAGGCTTGGAAATGAAGGGGAGCTGGCTCAAGATCTGGTTTTCTGAGAGGAGCAAAGAGCAAAGATGTCAAAAGAGACAAAGATTCAAGAGAGAGCTTCTGTGGAGTGCTATTGCTGGGGGAAATTCTTATTTGTACACTTACTTGCAAAAAGAGACACAGTGGTTTTTATTGTACTAAAGCTTTCTTTAACTCTCTGTAGAATTGCTTTTGGCTTTCTAAACAAGGAGATATTTGCACAATGGCAGTGGTTTGACTTCAGTTGTTTTTGGCTTGTTAAACTGTATAAGGATGGCATGTGAGAAGTAGGTTAGCCCTTAACTCTGATCAAGACATCACTATGATAAATATAAGAAGTCAAGTCTGCAGGTAGAGATTAAAATGCGATTAGGTTTGTGTTTAATTCAGCATGCAACAACTAGAGACAGGATAGGCCAAATTTCAGGGAATTAAATCCGTAATCGGAGATCTCCATTTTGTTCTAAAAATAACGGCCTCTGCCTTCACCACATCTGAGATGTGAATCGGTGAGTTTTTTTGTTTTACATCTTTTTCATCTGCTTATCCTACCTCAGTAGAAGGTAGTGATGAACAATGGAATACCCCAAACAAGTAAAAACTTGCAGGCAGAAAGGGAGAAGAAAGAGAAGCAAATGGTTGGGTTAATATCACTCAAAAAATGGACAGGTAGATCTTGGATAACCAAATAGCCACAGGAATAATTTTAAAAGATCAAACCAGAAGTTGAAACTGTAGTGCCCTATAGATTATAACACAATGGTGCTGTCAGTTTTCAACTAATGCACTTTTTTTTTCTTTTTCTAGAAAGAAAGAAAGGGTTTGTTGAAGTTGCTTTCTGGCGCCTCCACCAAACGGAAGCCCCGAGTGTCCCCTCCAGCCTCACCCACCCTGGAGGTGGAGCTGGGTGGTGGTGGCGGTGGCAGCGAGTTGCCTCTGCAGGGAGCAGTGGGTCCGGAGCTGCCGCTAGGGGGCGCCCACGGCAGGGCGGGCTCCTGCCCCATGGATGGAGATGGTCCCGCCCAGGCGGTGGCTGTGGGAGCAGCTCTGGCCCAGGAGGTCCTTCATCGCAAGACTAGCTCCCTGGACTCTGCCGTTCCCATCGCCCCACCTCCACGACAGCCGTGCTCCTCCCTGGGCTCCGTCATGAATGAGTCTAGGCCTGTTGTGTGCGAAAGGTGAGTTCAGTGTTTTCCAGCAGAAAACTAAGAAATGCATGGCAAGCTTTATGCTGGCATATTTATCCTGACATTTATGATATTTTCCCACATCCTCCCCTCTTTTTTTTTTTGAACTAAGTATGTAATCACAACCAAGCGTTGGCTTTCTTTTACCACTTGCTGGAACATACTCTAGTCCCTGCTTTTCCCTCCTGTGTGTCTTTCATGGGTGTAGGCCTCCCGCCTTCTTTTGGTGTATTTTCTCCAGACAACCAATCCAGAATGGTACCTTGGATGGAATTCGTCAATCACTGGAAAGTTGTTCATATCTATCCCTTCTTCTTGCTCCTCTTCTGTCGCCAACAATTGCGCCCTTGTGTCATCCTTTCCCTTTTTTCACTAGTACCTGCTACTTGTAAAGCAACCGGAGAATTCTGGCAACTAAGAGGATTCTCTTTTTATTCTTCCTGAGCCAGAAAAGAGTGGCTCTGTTCTCGAGACCTGCCACCCCTCTGGACCCAGGGTCTTGGCTCAGCTACACTCTGAGCGATGAACCCTGTTTGAGGGATTCTGGCCTTGAATAACAATTACAAATGTGAGCAGATCTGTTTGATACAGTCACTGGGGGTCTAGGAGTGCATTAGGAAAGAAAATATACTTAGTCAGACAAATATCTGCTGGGATTCTGTGAACTGAAAATGAAGCACTGTTGGTGCCACAGGAAAACATCGTGAAATACGCTAAACATAGCAGACTGTTTTCACATAACGCATAAATATATAAACATTTTTTTCAGAGTGTCACCTGGTTCATTGTTTCTATAAGCTTGAGGCCCCGTGGCCCTGCATTTCATAAGCAAAGCAGATTTCTCATTTGTGGAGATGGTGCCTTTTAGATAGCATTTCCTATTGCGGATTCAAAATCTTACTATCCAGGTGTTCCACTTTAAAATGACTTAAATGCTCCTAACTCGGTATTTCAGATGAACATTTGTACCCACCAAAATCTGAAGCCTTCATTCATATATTTTTGGGCATATTTTTTTTAACCAATAAATAAACTGCAAAAGAATAAACTTCAAACAACCTATGTACATTAAGTACACAGTACAAAATTTATTGTGTGTTTTTATAGTGAGGCGAGATAATTTTCTGTAATTGTAATCCTTATAAAACCAGTCTTTGCCATCGGTGAAATCATTCGGCCCCTCCCCTGTCTGCTGTGCTCTTGGCGAAGCTTTGGGATTTTGTCCTGAATGCACGCCCTCCTTTATCCTGACAGCAGCCTCTTTTCCTGCAGCCTCACTCTGCTTTCCAGGGATGGAGCCTCTGTCCCTGGAGGGAGTCCAGCGACTTGTTTACTTTCTTTTGGCCACAAAGGCTCCTCCTCTCCCCACCCCCAGGCATTGAGCTGCAGTTTTTCCTTCGTGCCTTGAATCACTCTCTTCTTTTTCCTGTCATTTGGGGTGTTTGTGTGACTGTTCTGAGTGCTCATTCACTTTGCCCAGACTCTCCCTTGGCACTGGCCCGGGCACCGCTCTCCCGCCCCCTTTTATGTGTTCCTTTTCAGTCGCCAGATGTCCTCCATCTCTGTGGCTTCTGCACTCCAGCCCCTTCCTCTGAGAGGAGCTCATTTCTTGCAGCAGGCTCCCGCTGTTCAGTGCCGCTGAAAAGGGGAACAGACAGGTGACGGCGGTTCAGGGAGTGCGGGGCGCATATCAGAATGGGAACGCGGAGACTTTGATGATGGGACAGATGGGCACGGGCACTCTGGAATACCCTGGCACTGTTTTTTATAGGACCATTTCCATTTTTTACAAGTAGGAAAGGGGCCTTTGGGGAAGATTTCTGCCCAAGTTTATATTTTTATAACCCACATGTTCAGTGGAATATTAAATGCAATAGCCTGACCAGCTTTTCACAGCCCCTTTAGCCTTCCTACCATGATGGCGATAATATTTATTTAACTTAGAGTCCTCAGTCTGCATGGCTCTAACAACGAAGGGAAAAATGTGTGGAAACAAGTAGTAAGGGAAAACATCCTATTATTCACTGAGGATGAAATTTTTTTGCCAACTGTATCATTTTAATATTTCAAAACTTTCAGCACAAAAGTGCTTAGTGCTAAAAATGAAGGGAAAATGAACTTTCCCATCAGTATGATTCAGAAAGAGTTTCAGGATCCTGGATTCCTTGATTCACAATCTAACTACCCACAACTCCTGCCCTAACAGTAGAGACTACCTGTGGTTCTCTTGGTAGAATTTTTACTGATAAAATTTCAGGGAACTGTTTTTCAATGGATAGTCCTGGCACAGTACGAGATAGGATCCAGCTGCAGATGGCAATGAGAACAAGCATACAATTTCTTCTCAAACCCCATCTCATAGATCTCTAGAGGAAAAGACTGTGACGACGGCAGCCAGCGCTGTCAGAGAAAGAAGCCTCCGCATGATAGGAAGACTAGAAGAGCCTCACAGTGAGGAAGGAGGGGCCTTGAGGTGTGTTGACAGGTCCTGGTGTCAGCTGAGAGGATTCTCTGAGGAACAAAAGGATTCTTTTGTGTTTGTCTGAGAGACTGAAGAAAACAAGCAAGAAATAACGCTCTATCCCGGAGGCAGCAAATGTATAATTGATGACAGCAAAAATAATAGAGCAAGTATTTGGGGCTCTACTTTAGACGGATTGAGGGGAAAAAAATAATCAGAAATTGCAAACAGAAAGTGGAAATAAAATATTTCAGAAGAGATGGCAAATAAAAGAAAGCATATATGACAACTTTTTTTCTTCTTCTAAAAAACACATACATAAAGGGCTTAAGGAGACACAGCAAGTCATCTCTGTGTATATTTGTAAGTTTAGGAATTAAATTGATAGCCACATACCTATAAGCCCACCTCCTAAATTAGAAAAGAACCTGTGATCTTTGATCAGGGATTAAACGAAAATACTTGGAAACATACAAATTGGATAGATTGGATTTACAGAAAGGTAGTCAGCTTAACCAGCACAATCAATTTAAGTCGGTGACAATGAACCCACGGGGTGAAGCAATGGACATAATTTGCTTGGACTGCAAGCAAACTGCAGAGAGAGCTCGTATGGTTTTGCTAGTAAAATATACTTAATTGGCTGTTAGATTGTTATAGCAACTAACAGAAAGCAGTGAATGGTTACCCATCCAGACCAGGGTAATGGGCAGATGCTTCCAAGAGCCACCGGGGACCCAATTTGGGCTATACCAGGGGAGATTAGAAACAAAAATGTATCAACGACAGAGAATGCAAGAGAGGCCAGAAAAAATAAAGGAAATGGAAAATGTATACTAATAAAGATTGCAAGTGCCCATTTAGATCGAAGCCAGAACACCACAGCCCAAACCAGGAAGGTGGGCATTGGGAAGCCAGTGGAACTTCTTTACATAGCAAACTTCTATTCCTCCCATTCCACACGGAAACTGTCGCCAGAAACTGAGCCAGGGTCCACCAGCCACAAGGGGCAGAGGCCCATTCACAGCCGCGTCTGTGAGCCACACTGCCTCCCAGGGGCTCCATTCAAGGGAGCAGGGGGTACTTTCCAACAACCACAGTACCATTTTTCTCTAATCTTTCCATTATTTTTATTCACTCATTCATTCATTCATTCATTTATTTTTAACATCGTGATGAAAATATACATAAAATATGCCATTCCTTCCATTTCAAATTCAGTGGCATTAAGTACTTCCACAATGTTGTATAACCATCACCACGATCCATTTCTAGAATTCTTTCATCATTTTAAACAGTTTCATCTTAAACTGAAACTCTGCGCCCATTAAACACTAACTGCCCATCCCCTCTCCCAGCCCCCGTCAACCACTAACTACTTTCTGTCTCTATGAGCTTGACTAGTCTGTGGATGTGTGAAATTGGGTGATATTATCCTTTTCTGGGTGGCTTACTTCACTTAGTATAATATTTCAAGATTTATTCATGTTGTGTACTATGTGTCAGAATTTCATTGCTTTTTAAGGAGCTTTATACATTTTAAAAAGTAGTTTTGCTGTATAATGAGGCCTTTCCTTTTTGTCATTCAGCATGCTTATTAAGAATTATCATATGTACTGTGCTAAGTAGCATGAGACATACAAGTGAATTATCATCATCTCACCCCTCAAGCAGCTTACAGTCTAGTAGAATAAATGTGCTAGGGATGTAGATGGCAATAATACCATGTAGACTGGGCCAAGTGCCATAAAAAACATACATGAGCCCTGGCCGGTTTGGCTCAGTGGATAGAGCGTCGGCCTGTGGACTCAAGGGTCCCAGGTTCGATCCCTGCCAAGGGCATGTGCCTTGGTTGCGGGCACATGCCCAGTAGGGAGTGTGCAGGAGGCGGCTGATCGATGTTTCTCTCTCGTCAATGTTTCTGGCTCTCCCTTCCTCTCTGTAAAAAAGTCAATAAAATATATTAAAAAAAAAAACAAACATACACGAGGCCTCTGGAATCTGGTCAAGCATGAAATTACTTCCAGTCATGGGCCTTGAGAAGGTCTCACCAGGGAGATTTGGAGGGCCTGATTGGGTCTGGATGGGCAGAGAGGTTGTCAAAGGGAGTTCCCCATGAGTTAACGCCTTTTTAACTCACTACAGTCCATGAGCCAAGGTATGGAGTCGGGGAGGTAAAGGTCATATCTGGGGGACGTGTTCAGGTTTAGACAAGTGTTTGGTCCGCTCATGGAGATAACAGTAACTACAGCTATGAAGAGGAGGCCGGGTCATTGAGGGCCTGAGGATTAACCTTGCAGGCATTGAGAAGATGGGAACGATTTTTGAGCGACAGATAGCTGCCAATGGAGTTGACAGTTAAGGAAATGAACGTGTTCAGTGTAGAATGGAGTGGGGCCCGGAAGAGATCTGAGGCAGGGAGGACAGGTAGGTTATTTGCCCAGGTGGGAGGTAATGAGTTCGTCCACAAATGATGGTGGCCGTGACCATAACGAGGAATGGATGGGGTGCAGATTTTGAGGGTGGATCAGCAGGTCCCACGGAGGTCATGGGAGAGAAGTCTTTGACTCCGGAGGTTCAGACCTTCCCAAAAGCCCTATCCCACTGAAGACAAGCATGATCCGAGTGAGGCGCAGGGTGCAGCCGCAGACGGGAAGGGCCGCCACAGCTGCGCCTCACATCTGTTTGTTGGTCTGTAAACTTTCTACTTGGCAAACCCGCTCTGTGCCTGAGATGGCTGGCCAGTTGTGCCCAGGATTTGGCTTTAAGAGTTCGTATTAGAAATCTGTATGCAAACTACCTCGCAAGGCTCCAGGCCAGAATCGGAGCTGGACGATTTCTAAGTAGAGTCTGTGCCTGCTGCACCTGGGAGTCTTCATGCAATCAAGGCTGTGTCACAGTTTCCATTATGCGCATGGTGTCTCCTTCCACCCCCCAGAGGCTTAGAACTTAGCAGCGAAAATGTGCTTCCCCTGGGAACGGAGCAGGAAGATTATGTTCTTAGCCCGGCAGCAGTTATAGTTCAAAAAAATGTTGACAAAATTGGTTTAGTGCATTTTGTAAGATGCAAATATTCATCTAATTCACTTCAAGTTTCTCGAGAACTATTTTTGTTTCATTTTCCCTTGAAGGCAGCTCGCAGAGAACTGGTGGGGAGCACATTTCATCAAACATCTACTCTGAATGGGATCTGAGTCACTTGTGCACTTTTTCCCCCAGAATTATAAAGCTTTGTTTAAATTTTAACTTTCCCCAAATGGCAACTATTTACATTGCTTTTTATATGGAATTTTAGCATGTTGGCAACAGACTTGAGAAATCTCATTTGGATTCCTTCCTTTAGATAAGTCCAAGAAGAAAGTATTGGTCTTGCTTTTACAGATGTAAAGGTTTAGAAAGAATTCCAAAACCTTAAACTATACCATTCTAAAGTTTGTCAAGTCTCATTATCAGGCAGTTTTCCTTTAGTGTTCTGAATCTGTTTCTTGGGTAGAGGTGGCCAGCTTCTGACTGGCCCATTCATCTCCTTGGAGCACCAGGCCCCTGCCTGCTTTGGCCGAATGCTCATGCTGGGGTGTGAACTACGTGAGCATCGCACTTATGATCTCACGACATTACGTGATAACACCTGTTTAACTCACTGCAGTCCTACTCTACAGACAAGGAAACTGCGACCAAGACATGTGAGGTAATTGGCCCGAAGTTAATCTGCTCCCAATGACCTCTACGGCTGTGTTAGGCCCCAGGCCAGGGCTCTCCCCAATGCCATGCCTCCGCCCTCATCCCATGTTTGGTTGAACCCTAAGCCTTGTGGTCTATAAATATTCATGTTTGAATTGGCTGAACCTTTTTTTTTAGAAACAATAAGCCAGCCCCCTTGCTGTGCGTTTGCTTCAGATCTTGGAGGATAATTTGCTCTGTTGCCCAAAGTAGCTCTGGAATTGTTTGGGCGGTCACTAGACCTTTGCAGAGATGCCTTTCTAATAGAGCAATAGCCTAATACTCTCCCTGTGGTCCTTCTTAATGCGAATAGATTCTGTTTCTTATGGGTAGGAGATTGGTGAAACTAGCCATCTTCTGAAAGGGCTAGGCTCTGATGGGTTTTATGAGTTCGGGGCAGTGTATAGAATTTGTTCTGCCGGTCATGTTTTAAGCCATAACATTATTTACTTACAGTCAAGAGTGGGTCCTATAACCTTCTGCTGTGTAACAAGTTACCCCTAAAATTTAGGGGCTTAAAGCGATAAACATTTATTATCTCACAGTTTCTGTGGGTTGGGAAGTTGGGAGCAGCTTATCTGGGTGGCTCTGGCTTAGGATATTTCTCAAGAGCACACCCCAGATGTCTGCCTGAGCTACAGCCATCTGACAGTTTGACTGGGCTGGGACTGCCTTCCCCGGTGGCCCACTCACTCATATCACTATTGGCGAGCAGTCTTGGTTTTTGGAATGGCACCGCAGGTACCCACCAGGTGGTCCTCTCCATAGGGATGATGGATTTTATCACAACATGGCCGCTTGCTTTTTCCCAGAGCACATGACCCGAGAGAGAGTAAAACAGAAGCCACATGCCTTTTATGACCTAGCCTCCAAAGTCGCACACGGTCATTTTCACAGTGGATGATTGCTCACACCGTGTGTCACCATCATTGTGGGAGGAGGCTACATTAGATGTGACTACCAGGGAGCAAGGCTCCCCGGGACCAGCTTGGAAGCTGACTACCGTGCACCACTGTTTTCCCCTTTGGTTGGGAGAAGCAGGAGAGGTGTGAAGGGGAGCATTAATGCTGGAAAAATAAAAAGGGATAAAAGGATATAGAGCATAGCCCTGGTTGGTGTGGCTCAGTGGTTAAAGCGCCGGCCCACGGACCAAAGGGTTGTGGGTTTGATTCCTGGTCAAGGTCATGTACCACTCTCTCTAGAAATCAATGGAAAAAATACCCTCGGCTGAGGATTTTAAAGAAAAGGATATAGAGCATAAAACAACCCCCCACTCCCCCCCCCCTCTCCGCCCGCCCCTTTTCTGGCTTCCGTGGCTGCTAACCATCATTTTGCAGAAGTAGACCAAGGAGCATGGAAATGGGATAGATAACATTAAATCAACAGGGCTTCTGGGGTTTATAAGTGATAATGACTCCTTTTCCTGCTAATGGGAGTTGGGAGCCAGTAGAGAGCAGACACAGTTACTGCACTAATAGAGATCCGAATGTCAGCCTTGTTCCTGATTGTGTTGGACTGAACTTGTGGCCACAGTCTTCCCCTCCCTGCCTAGACCTTAGGACAGCCTGCCCGAGGGAGATTTTGAGTGTGTAAAGCAGGTGAGCTTTCTTAGATTTGCCGCCTCGCCCCTGTCAAGCCCCAGTGTCAGGGACACAGAGAGGCCGCCTTGGAGACCAAGTCCAGAAGGCAGGCCTGAGCCTGGCCACTCGAGCTGACAGCATGACGGAGAGGCCGGGCACAGCCCCTGGGCCGAGGCAGGCAGAGCAGAGAGCGCTGGCGCCATCAGTGTCCCCAGTCAAATCCACTCCTTTCTTCTTGAGAAAAGAGAAGGACAATACGCTTTTTCTTCTGTGCTATAAATGTTTGAGGGGGACAAGATGGCTCTCTGTCAAGGGCATTCATATAAACCAGGCCGGGTCATCCATTCAGCATATCCAAACCGTCCACACCAAGTCTCTGCTTCACAGCGCACAGTTGTATGTTGAGTGGTTTTACAGACATTATCAACAAAACCCATGCTGCTTCCCCTTCTGCTATGCACACCATTCTTGTCACTGCTTGCAATGGCCTTTCCTAAAATCTCTCTCTCTTTTCCAGGCACAGGGTGGTGGTGTCCTATCCTCCTCAGAGTGAGGCCGAACTTGAACTTAAGGAGGGAGATATTGTGTTTGTTCATAAAAAACGAGAGGACGGCTGGTTCAAAGGCACGTTGCAACGCAACGGAAAAACTGGCCTTTTCCCAGGAAGCTTTGTGGAGAACATCTGAGGAGACTCACCTTGGGAATGCTTCAAATCCTATCACTCCACAAGATAGCACAGCGCGATGTCACGGGAAGAGCACATCGGTGGACTTCTAGGTGGCCGGGAGACGAGCGGAGGATGGGCGTGTGACCCCAGGGCCCCAACACATGTAGACCAGCAAGCGGCGTGACGAGAGCGTGGTTGTGGGTTTTGTCACTCTGGATTCGGATGCGGAAGGTGTGCCTTGTACTGTCTGATTGACTCTACAGAGAAACCTTTTTTTTTTTTAAAGATATATAGCTAAAATGGACAATTGTTTACAAGGCTTAACTAATTTATTTGCTGTTTTAAACTTGAATTTTTCTTGTTATAGATCAATTCTTTGGGTTATGATTTTAAGGAATTATTAATTTATGAAATGATAGTTAAGGAGAAGCTGGATTCTCTCCTGTTGAGAGCAAGAGATTCTTTTTAACAGAGAATGAACTCCCCCTTCCCCACACCGGTGTTTTTTTGCCTTTTTTTTTTTTCTTTTTCAAGACAGAAATGCCAGTTCTCTGATTTGGTTTTCCTCTTTGGGAAACCAAAATGTGCAACTGAATCAGTACCAATAAGGGCCTGGGGTTGGGAGACAGAAACTTGAGAAAAGAGACGTTAATGATTGCTTGTCTTTCTGGTTTGGTCAGGAATCGCCTTAAGACCTAGTCCTCGATTTAATTTTGTGGGTTTTTTTAATTTTCCAAGAGTGAAAGCGATGAAGCGATAAGGAAGAGTAAAGCACAACCCTTGAACAACGACAAAAAAAAATGTATTCAGAAATCAATTTAGTTTTATAAGAGAAGCAGCTCGGTTTCATTGGTTGGCAGTTGGAAAATCTGAAGTTGGACTCCTCTCTGCGGATGGCTGTGAAATGTCATGTGCCCGTATTACCTTAAGTGGTCTGCATGCCCAGGACACAGTGAAGCGTTTGTGAGATAGTGGTGGTCCGTGATGCACTCGTGCGGAAGTCAGTGGCTATGAGAAACACTGTGAAACGTTTACATACACCCATCGTGAGTCCTTTCCCACGTGTGCATGTGGCTGGGTTGGTTCCCACAGTAATGTCTGCTGTGCATGGTCTGTATATTTCATTGCAATTTCCTGTCGAGGTGAGTTTGTGCTCGGAATTGACCGATGCAGGAGCTGGGAAATAAACAATACTCTTTTCTCTACCCCAAAGCCACTACTGACCAATTTCTCTGAGTACACTCCCTCTCTCCCTGGCCAAGGTATCCATCGGCCATGACACAAGTGATTAGTGAAAATGGTCCTTTATCCGTGCTCCCAGCTGCGGAGGGATGTCAGGGGTGAGCCAGGAGGCCGCTGCTCTCACTGTTCTCTCGCAGCCCTGGGAGGCTTGGCGCAAGGGAGGGTGCCCACACCTTACAATTGTGGCGGGATCCAGCTGAGCCTGTCTTTTTATATCCGTCCTTTGATGTCATCGGCCTCTTCTTCCCATTTCATTCCTGTGCCACGCAGTCGTGGGTCTGAGTAGTCCTAAAAAGCAAAACAAAAGGAGGGAAGACAGCCTGGGAGTGAATGAAATCATTGCCACAGTTTCCTCATGAGCAAACAAACACAAAAACCTTTTTATTTCTTACTTTTAAGAATTACAACTGGGAAATGGAAACACGAACAGAAAAGTCTTCTTGCAACAGCAGGAGGTTTCATGGTCTTAAAAAGATATACGATGTGGTTAAAATGAAATCATTCCTAAATTAACCATTTTTTTATAAGACACTGTACATTATGTTCCTGTGTGTTGAATTTTTTAAAAAATACTTTACTTGGATATTCATGTAATATATAAAGGTTTGGTGAGATGAACTTTAGTTAGGAAAAAAAAAAGCTGTCATCAGCTTTCATCTGTGTAAGTTGACACCAATGTGTCATAATATTCTTTATTTTGGGAAATTAGTGTATTTTATAAAAATTTTAAAAAGTAAAAAGACTACTACAGGTTAAGATAATTTTTTTACCTGTCTTTCCTCCATATTTTAAGCTATGTGATTGAAGTACCTCTGTTAATAGTTTCCTGGTATGAAGTTGGTTAAAATTTCATCTGTCAATAGATCACTTAGATAATATAATGTATGGGTTTTTCTATTGGTTTTGGGGGGAGACAATAGCTGGAGATTTTGTAACAAGGGCTTGTTACACGTTGATAGGGTGGTGATTAAATTGCCATTTATCATGTTAATAATTTGAAGACTGGAGAAAAGGTTCAGGATTAAAATTTGATGTTCATCCTTTACATGCCCCTTGTGTCAGTCCTTAAAATTCTTTTCTTTTTTCTTTTTTTATCTGGGACATATTTTACTTAGTTTCTGCTTCATGCAAAATTCTTTGCATGCACCTCAAACAGGAAATATCTACAATAATCGTTTTGGTGGTTTTACTACATTTTACCTCTCCGACTAACAAATGTTCTTTGGTTAGTTCCCCCAAGAAGTGTAGTGTCTTCTTAGAGCTTGTGGAGTTTCACCAAGTGTAATCCTTCTGCTCCCTCCCCCTTGCTATGGTGACTGCATAGCCTGGACCGCTCGCAGCCTTGTCTTAGCCATAGAAAGAGCGCCAGACCTGCAAGCAACTGAGTGATAACCCGTGGGCCTCAGCAAGGCCTGGGAACATAACGTGTGATTTTAATCTTTCATGGAATGCCAACAAGTCGTAAGGTTAGAAGGGCCATGTATGTCATTAGAATATATTTTCCTCTTTAACTTTTAGTTTCTATCAAATTACTTATCAGAATGAAAAATCAGGAATTCTAGGTTGTATCATAGCTTTGCC